TCACAAACTAGAAGAAAAAAAGATCACTCTTTTACAACACACACACACACACGCATTCTTTAGATAGATTCAAGTACACGCATGCAAACTCCATCCAGTCACGCCTAGATAAGTCAGTCAGTCAACCAAATCTGCTGACGAAGTCTTCTCTAACACACACACACACACAACACCGCATTGATGTCACAAGCTCGTGTTATTTCCTCCTGCTGGACCAATTCACTTTCATGCCAAGCGATTCAAACACCATGAAGGATGGCGTCTGACGTCTCCTGGATTGTTCCCGTTCAGGTGCATGCCTCAGTCAGCCGTCACATCACAGAGCTCATAGTTCAGGGCTTCCTTTCTCTACGCATTGACGCTGTTGTTACACAATCCCACAGCTACCTGGAACAGGTTTTTCTTAGTATAATAAAGATTAGATAAAAGGAGAAACACAAAGTGGCTTAATGACAAAGCTTTTGCATATTTTGATATTTCTCTAAGGGCTTTACAACCTCAAGAGGCAACATGTGAAGAACCCCCCACCGCCCCCAAAAAGAAGCAAAATGCTAAAGATGTACGCCACGATGACTAAAACTTCTGAATTTGTGAACCCAGACAGAGGGAAACGATAGAGGGACTGAGGTAATCTGACTAAGAGGAGGCAGGACGACCCAGACCTCGCCTCTCTGATTCACGCCATGATCTGTGTGACACACTATGGACTCAAACACACACATTTACTCTATTTACCAAGGCTGATCATTTTCAACAATGTTTCTTTTTGCGTAAACCAGCTCATATTAACATGCCCATTTATGTTGTGTTTTTTTTTCACTAGGTAATGAGGAAACATGGAAACCCCCAGCGATATAAACACAAAGACACACTCGTGCACACACCTTGGTATCAGGTCGCTCTGCCCTTGGTGCTCAGTGACTCTTTATGTCAGTTAATGACAAGCAAGGCTTTTATCACATGGCTGACAAAAGAATCCGTCTCCAACGCTCGCTCAAACACACCTGTGAATATGTAAAACTCGGACGCACTCAGCTTCGGTTGACTGCCGCCTGGTTTTATTTCAATTAAACCCAACTAGGTACAGGAGATGTGCTGGAGGGTTTAAACACGACTGAAAATAAAAACTGGCACAAGTGACTTACATCAGCAAATATGAGATACAGTGAATGTACGACACGAGATTGACTTTGACATTCTTACTTCCTGCTGAGTTCATGCCTAACGCGGATTAGTCAGACTTCCACTCCTGCTCATCATATGGATGGGATTATGTGTTGTATGGCTCACACACACACAGACACACACACACACAGACACACACACACACACACACGTGGGAAAGGATCAGGCCAGGACGCATGCTGTAGCGTACGTGCAACAATGCAGCACTTAACCAGATGCAGATCCACTTTTTTTTTTTTTCCTGCCCACTCCTCTTGCGTGGCTGCACAGTATAAGAATGCAAAAACAGGCCTTGGTTGCCATACCGACAGAGAAGCTTCAAGAGACATGTGCTCTCCCTCCTATAACTAATGATGTTATCACTTGGAGACACCTTCGTGCTGTGTTTGTAGTCTTGCGTGCATGAAAAGACAGGCTGGGCTGTGTGTTTGAAGAAAAGTAACCTGGGTGTTCAAACACACACACACACACACACACACACACACACAGAGCAGCACGCAAAACTTTATCAGCGTTAACGTCCCAAAGTCTAATGACTCCACTCCCGAGTTTCAGCCTAAAAGCTACAGTAAATTCACAAACTCGCTGTCAGATTCCTCAAAAGAAGGGAAACGCTGGCATCCAGTAGACAGAGTCTTTCTACACTCCCAACATTTACAATTAAAATCACCAAAAAAACAACTGCTTACAGCGAATGAAACAGCTGAACAAGTGAAACCCCACACCCTCCACATATCATTATCAGATATGTTACAAGATAATAAATGTTCCTAGTTACCCTTTCTAAAAACAATCCAACCTTTTTTAGACTGAAGGCCGAAAAAATATATATTGAAATGTTGCAGCTAGTTACGAGTCTGGCTTGTTGCCAGTATTAAAGTATTCCTAGATTTTAATTGAAAACCACAAACATCTACAGCTATGTCATTTCTGTTGTCAAAATGAGAAGCCAGAGAAAGCATCAGAGTACCTCAACACTTCCTGTCAGTCAGCTGGCTGAAAGAAGGCCACTACAAATTTACCAAAAGGAAAAATTTGGCCTTTTGAAAATGTTACCGGTTGTCGTCAGCAGGGAACCCCGTTTTCTGCTTTCAATAAAAGCAATAAGATAAGATGCACTTGTGTTTATAATTTGGGTTAATACCATGATACTGTAAATACCTCATAAGAGCCAGGAATAAAAATCTAAATTTGTAATACGTCTGTTGTCTATTGTGGCAAATCACAAAAAAATTGCGAGTGGTTTTGAGCAGCAAAATACTCAGATGTTTATTATTAAGGGGTGACAATTATTGTAAAGTATTGCTATGAGGGAAAACAAGTACTGTGATAAAAAAAATAGCAATTTACTGTCATCATGAAAAAACTAATAATTTTTGTAAAGCCAAAAAAAAAATGATGTTGGGGTCGCTAATTTTGCTTTTTGAACCATTTTTTCTTACACTGAAAGCACCAATAAGTATGTTTGAAAAGTATGATTGAATGCAACCATTGTGTGCTGTTTAGCTCTACCTAATGCAACTCCTGTAATCAAGAATCCTATTTGACATTAGCTACGTTTTATTTGTCAAGTAATATTTGCAGGGCTTTGACTAGTCAGAGACAGATGTACTGCCGGAAAGGTTGAAGAACCTTCAAATACGTTTTAATCACAAATGTTTAGCTTTATGACACTACAAGCACAATAAGATATTGTGACAACAAACATCCATATTATTCATCCCTGTTTGCAATAATAACAAGCATGCAACAAATGCGGGGGCATTTTTTTTCCCCAGACATTTTTTATTTCCAGCTGGCGTTTCAGTTGAGCAAGCCAGATGGTCCTGTGTGATTGTGTGAGAGGTTGACGAACTAAAAAGGTCACACAAAAAAAAAAAAAAAAAAATCTAGGCTGGCTCCACCAAGTGCATATCCTGTCAGTGACGCAGTGTGTGCTTTGAATGCACTTTCAGCTGGAAACATGAACCAACAAGTTAAGCTAATAGACGAAGCGGCAAATAAGTGAACACCCTTAAGCCAAAAACAACAACAAGCACAGAGAGCTGCCTCAATGGATCAGCTATGCTGAAAGATTGAGGAGACAATGGTGAAATAATGCGTCGCTAACTATGCTAATGGAATACTCCAAAATGTTAAACGTTGACACGAATAATAATAATAAAATAAATAAACTAAAATGGGCTCAATTTGGAGAAGCATCCCTGTAAATGGGAACACGCAGATAATAAAGAAACTTGTGTTTAGAATAAGGTCAGCGTCTTGCTGAGCGGCCCCATTGTTTGCTTGTGAGCAGCACAGTTTCACAGGAAGCACATGCTCCTCTATGTCACCCCGCTGGGGTTTGCCAAGTGCTTGCATTAAAGTGTGTCTCTCCACCGAGTGCGAGAGAGTAAAAGGTAGGTTTATCTCCCTCTACTAAAAGGCATGTGTGCGTGTGAGCAGTGCAAGCCACTCGGTTTACCCGTGCAGCCGTTCGTGAGAGCGTCTGCACGCCAAAGTGTGCGTGTGCACGCGTGTGTGTGTGTGTATGAGTGCAAATGTACACTCTATTGTGCGCGAGGGGACAAGCTGCCAAGCGAGACTGTGTCACTGACCACACAGTGCATCTGACGAGTGGGGGTGGAGGGGTCAGGAAAGTTCATGAGGGCTGTAAATTCTGCTTTGGTTGGAGCGCTGGCCAATCACAGGGCTGCGTTTGGGAGGTTTGGGAGCAGGGAAGTGCAGGAAACAGATAGCAGATTATCAGGCTGCCAGGCCGCGATAGCTGCTCAAATAAAGAGCAACAACAGGGTGCAAGCTAACCAGAGGACACGCCGGGACAAAACGCGACCTATAACACACATATATATATATTCAAAGTAACGTTTACTTGGCCGTCAGCACAACAGCTGGGGGAGCTGATGCTTTCAGTTTGTCGGCCGATGGTGAAACCGAAGACAGAACTGAGGCTGAGGTTTACTGTTTCAAACAAGCCTGAAGAGGCGGCCGATTTACAGGCAGCCTATGAGCTTTCCGCGCCGCTGTTGCTATGTCACAAATACTTATTTATCACGACCACCGGGGGATAAATTGCTACACATGTCAACAGCAACTGGGTTTCTTTTCAGACGTATAATGTTACACTGGTGTACACAATCTAGGTTGAAAGGAAACAGTTTGGTTTGCTGCTTTGAAAAGAAAAATGTGATTTTGTGTCACTTTACACATGCTATAGAAAGCAAGGTTTTAAAAAGGTTTTTCACACACTTCCTACATTTCTCTGGTTGTCTGAGGCATAGCTGTTGTCCCGCCCCCTTTTGTTGCTGCACACGGTCATTCAAGATGGCTGAAAGTAGGTTCCCTCGCTTAAAAGAAATACAAATATAGATGTTTGGAAATGATTCTAGTTGCGAGCACTCTTCTTCAAATATCAATTTCTTTTTAAAAATTATTCTTAGCAAACTCCAGCTGGTGTATCTATTAGCTGCCCCACCACCAGATAGCCAATGCAGTTACCAAGCTAATATCAACTTTGTTCTCGTTTTCCTCTATAGAGTACTTGAAAATTACTCCTTAATTTAGTACATTTCTTCCAAATGTCCATGCATTAACATAAAAATACCAATAAATAGACGTTATGAACAACTTTATAGCTTTTGTATAATGCTAGCACCAATAGGAATATCTGTCGCTTCTATCTAGGTATAAATTTTTGTTTTTACTTTGTGTGTTAATATCCAGAAACTGTTTTTTTGTTTGTTTGTTTGTTTTTTTACTCAAAGTTGTACCTTCAGATGCCAATACAGTCTCCAGGTTCCTGTGCAGACACTTACTGGTACTTGAGTCGGACTTGTTCCTGGTCTGGGTTGCAGTACAGTCTCTCCAGCTGCTCCTGGGAATCGTCTGCTATGCTCTGCCATGTCTGAGTGTTGCTCCTGCGGATCTGCCAGTGGTAGGGCAGCACGGTGTGGTGGTGGGCACAGTCGTTCCCAAAAACACACCGTCCCTGGAGGAAATCCACACAAATGTCTACAGAGTCCGACTGGTGCGTGTGATACTGGAGCTGAGTGAGTAGCTCAAACACTAGATCCAGGGAGGCCTCTTCGCTTTTATTCTGGAACAGCACCCCTTTGTCTGGCTGCAGGAGCTGGGAGCGGGGATCCTGGATTGCAGAGGAGTCTTTCACTGAAACACTTTTAGCGCCAGAGGTTAGGAGGTCTTTGCTTTTGATGATGCTCCCCTCCTGGTGAGGAACCTGGGGTGTGACTATGGGAGGTATATCCCTCTCTGAGGGTGGGATTGTCTCCGTGCTCTCAGCAGCTCGGAGGCCAGCTTTCAGCTGGGGTCGCTCCGTTTCCTCTAGCTCCGCAGTAGTATCGGCTATCTCCACGTCGACGTCCCGGCTCATCAACCCCTGGACTCCGGTCGCAGCCGCTGCATTCTCGGCGGCTCCCGGGTCTTTGAGACACACCTGCCCCACGCAGCTCTGCTTCACCACCGCCGCCGCGCACAGGGTGCCCGGAGTTCTGCCCGGCTGGCTGCGGGGAACAAACACCCCATCCCCGGACACCAGAGTATCCGTGCTCAATAAACTAGTCAGTATCGGATCCAGGGAGCGTTGGAGGCATTTGTGGTCCAATTTCCTCTGTTTCTTCCTGAAATAGGGTTTCACTAGAGGTATTTTGTCCGAAAGCCCAACGATCGGCTGCTCCGTGAAATCTTCCGCTTCGTCCATATTTAAACTCACATCCAGCGAGATTGCAGTCGGCACACGTTCTGCGGATTTCTGGAGAATGTGCAAAGTTTTACCCATGTCCTCCTGCTAAGCCCGGACGGTCCTGGAAGAGAAACAGAGAATGAGGTAGTCATCAAAGATAACAGCCGTAATCCTGTAATCTCAGTTTCCAAGGTGAAGTCATCGCAGAGATTAATATGCTGCTTGGGCGAGCTATTATGCCAAACACTCCCTGGCTTTCCTTTCCTGGGAAGGAAAACCTCCGCCGCCTGTATGCTGAATCGAAACCCCCTCTATCTACGGAAAGTGATCCCAGATTGACCCCGCACATTAAAAACAGGAACAACACCGCAGCAGCCGCATAACACATCAGTCCCTCTAAACAGCCTGTTACACCGATTCTCGTTGGGGAAGCAGGAAAGGTTGGCCGATCGAAGCGGAAAAATATTACCTAATCCCGCTGCAGGGAAGTTGAGCCTCAGATTAATCATGTCAAACGAGAACACGTCCCCTTTTTTCCCCGTTAAGTCCTTTTGCTCTCCGGCTAACGTCATGCCTGCAAATTACAGCTGCGTATCCGCACAGGAGCGATAAAATCAGGAGTGTAACAAAACCCCCACTCAGCCTCCCCCGGGACTATATTTTGATCACGGGAGTCCGATACGCGGGCCCCGCCGACTACGTGCCGCTTTACATCACTGCCCGAGCAAGTTCGCACGTAGGCTCCAGCTGACACAGCCACACACACACACACACAGGGCAGGCAGCTACTGCACAAAACACCGAGGAGATTTTACTCCACAGGCCGAAAAGCAACTTTCGTTCCGGTGAAGAACTATCAGATTTTACAAGCGCAAGGATAACAAAAAAAGGGGGACGGGGGGCGAAATGGTTATAAGAGAAGCACTGCTGCTGCTATTTAAATTCCCCATTAACTAGCTTCCCCAAAGACGATACTTCTTTATTCTCCGAGGCTAAAACGAATAATACGCTACCTGCGCGACAAAGTCCACCCCTCTTCCCCCGTTTGCGGCACTCTTTCGTGGTCAAAATCCATTGTGTACATCGGCCGAAGCTCCAGATTCAGCTAGTACCAGAAGTAGTATCCGTGCCCAGACCTGGGTCGCTGGTATCCCCCTGCTGTTTCCCTCGTCGCTCTCATGCTCTGTCTTTCATCTCCTCTCTTTGTATCCAGGACAGGACAGAAAAGGCGCAGAAGTGAGCTCAGCCGCAGCGTTAGACGCTCTGCCTGGCTGCCCCGGCGCCTCACCGCTAGGCTCCGCCCCCTAACCTGCCGGGGGCGGAGCTTCGCTTCAACCGCACGTACACAGAGTCGTCTGGTGGCCGCAGATAGAAGCTGCAAACAGTGTGTGTGTGGGGGGCTTTTAATTCCAATGTCATAATGCAGCAAGTTATAAACGATTAAAAATGCACATTTGTACGTGTCTTGGCGAAAAATACATCTGGGAATATATGTACTGTATATAAAGGCAGCCCTGTACTATTGTAGCATAGGCCTCAAGATCCAGTATCCTGCAACTTTCAGATGTGTCTCTGCTGTAACACACATGAATCAGATAATGAGGTCGTTAGCAGGACTATGGAGAACTTGACTGGACACTGAGACGATTCAGTCTTTTGATTAAGGTGTGAATCCAGGGAGACGTTTGAAAGTTGCAGGACACGGCCGAATTTGAGGACCCCTGTTCTAGTGCATTGGTTCCCAACCCTAGTCCTCCTCAGACCTTTTTTTTATTTTCTTCTCTGATGGCTTTTAGCTAAACCACACCTTACCACACCTTAAATGTGGCCTTAAAGGATGCTAAAAAAAACAAACATATTCTTTTAATAAACAATCCAATCTGAGATAATTTATCAAAGCTGGAGAACTATAAGATATTAAACTTCTGTGAAATATTTCAATGGAATTTAATCTTATTTTCAATTAATAAAGAATGTTAATCAGCTGAACTCTTTCATTTCTATATGTCTGATAGCATAGTTTCATCTTCTCCATAGTCACATATACTTGTATATGTGATTATGAATGAGGTACTATTCATGGTTCCCAAGCTCTTCTGTTCTGCTGTTTTACATGTCTCCTTCCTCCCACACACCTGACTTAAATAAGTAGATGATTAACAGGCTTCAGCAGCATCAGATGGCCTGCAGAGGAGGTCATGAAATCATTTCTATCAGGTGTGCTGGAACAGAGACATATCTAAAACATGTAGGGCCTGAGGGTACGGTTGGGAACCACTGTTCTAGTGCATCCCAAATATTTGAATATTGTATAGATGTGAAATATTTCTTTTCATTTTGTATAGATTTATTACACATAGAATGAAAATATTTCAAGTTTTTATTTTTTTGCAGTTTTAATGATTATAATTTGTGACAACAGTGCAGGGCCCCTATTTTTTTTAGGAGAGTCTCAAAAAATTGTTCCTTTTAGTTTCTTTTAATAAATGCATGTTTTGCAAACATTGTATTCCATATAGAATGCATAGGCCAATATTAGGTGAGTTGTAATAATATTATTGGGATACTTATGACGAAAAACAATATTCAGGTATTTGAAATTTATAAAGTTACGGTTGATTTAAATATGGACCTGTTGAACAGGGGAAATATTAAACCTACCAAACATCTTTTCATACATGTAGTTTGCATTAGTAAAATATTTTTTCTTTAAAACATAGGGCACCAAAGCTGGCTCCAGCCTGTGTGTCCAAATCCTTGTAAATCCAGCCCTAACTATGACTTGCAGGTAAAGAAAACCCAAATTCTATATCTCAGAAATTAGAATATCACATTAGACCATTTTAAAAATTGTCCTTTTAAGCACAAATGTCTTGCTTGTGAAACGCATGTTCATTTTTATTCACTCAATGCTTAGTTGGGTCAATAGTCTGTGCCTCTTCACTCTTCCTCCAGACCCCAAGACCTTGATTTTCAAATGAAATGGCGTATTGACCGTCATCTGAAAACAGGACTCTAGACCATTGCACAACAGTCCAGTTCTTTTTCTTTTTAAACCAGGTAAGACGTCTCTGATGTTGTGTCTCATTATGGAGACAAAGGATCTAATATGCTCCATAAAGACAGATAAAATCTCTCTTGCCTTCCATCTTGTTAAGCTGACTTTAAAATCTATAAATGGTATTTTTAAAACATTAACCTCAGTTAATACTGGAGACCAGACAATGCCTATTGAGTACTGTCTCATAGAGCAAACACTGCATTGCACTAAAGATAATGTTGTGCAAAGTGTCATGAAAACCAAACAAGCTTACTGAGCTCTTATTAACCTTCTAATAAAAAAAACTCTGTATGGGTTTCATAATGTTTCTTAAAAGGAGGTGAAACTCCAGAGAAACTATTTGAATGCATTATTACTCAAGAGTCCTTTTGCATGAAAGTAAACATGAAACCTATTAATCTAAGCAAACTGGATATTATTGATTAAGAGTTTCAGAAACCTAATATTGTTTCAGTGCAGCTGATCTGCCTAGTTTCCATAAGGGAGTGAACTTCTTACTGTGTGAGTCAGCCTTTCTCGCCTGCTTGTTTTACCAGAAGTAGTTTTTTAGGAACCTGCTGTGCTGCACCGGCTTCCGGCCGCAGTTTCATCTTTTGAGCGTGCTCAACAGTTTTTAGTTTCTGAAAACTGGACTTTTCAAACAGCATTGGTATGCAATTATAAAATCCTAACCATTTTTGCCAAGAAAAAAAAAACAAAACAAAACAAACAAAAAAAACACAACTTTTTTTGTCTAAAGAATGTTACAAGGAATTGATGATCAGTGCGTTGGATAACAAGAGATATCATATGCATTGCACCGTTTGCAGGAATAATGGGTTCCTTGATTTAGCAGTTTCTCAAACTTTCCTTTTATTGCTGACCTTAGATGCCAGGAAATTTAAGACATCTTATCCGTCCTCTTCAGGATCCCCGTGTGACTCATTTTGCAGGAAATTGACAACACCTTTTTGACAAACAGTGAACTCAACAAAGCAGTTCCAGCGAGGCTCATTTACTGGTACCTTCCACGTTCGCTGCTGAAAACACTTGGCTGCTGACGTATGCGAGAGTAATTGCCTGATTGCATACCGATGAATGGTGAGCATTCCTCCCGGCCTGACAAGCAAAACGAAGTCCTATTGTTCAAGTCATGACTAGCTTCAGAGGACGCCCTTTAAAAAGGGAGACCTGTCTGCCAAATCCGGCTAGTTTGTTGTCTCACTAAAGGCTGTACGGGATGGCAGCACATGAAACAACAAGTACTGCAAAGATCCTTTAATCCATGTGAGAAGGAGTGCCCTAATTAAAGCTGGTACAAAGCCGTAACCCAACGAAACATTACAAGACTATTATATCATTAGAGATGAAACAAGGAATGTAATGTGCTTTAGAGATCTGGGAGCATAATGAAAAGATCTATTTGCCAAAGCTCAGTTATGCACACACTTTTACAATCTTTCTCTTGCTCAGGCACTTGCATTCGGGCTAAACCGGTCTCTGCAGGTAAAGCTCTTGCTTCCTGTTTCTTTTATTTTTTTATTTTTATTTTTTTAAGAAAAAGGAGGTGAAAGGTCAGGAAAGGCATGTGAGAGTGATCACATTCAGAAATACAAACCTGGGTATTGTTTTATTTAGAAAGTCAAACTATTTGACTGTGAAGAACTTCCAAAGTTTTGTTTGAGTCTTATCAGTTTATATGTCAGAATATCATAGAATTACTGTGGCAAATCAGTGACAGGGCTTCAGTGTTGACACGCCTGTCTCACAAAACCAATCCTGGGCAGGGACACATAAACACACATCTTTATGGATCTAATTGGCTCTGGAAATGTTTTATGAAAAATTGTTGCCACTTTGACTCAGGTGTTGTGGATCCTATGTTTAACAACCTGTTTTAAATGACAATGACCCGCTTAATAACGGATTAGCACCTCAGAAATACTAATAACATAAGGACAAGTTTAATCTTTGTCAGTATGGATTATTGTTTTGTGTTACAGCAGATGTGGCAGAAATACTCTAAAATCCAAGATGGAAACATTTTCAAAATAACAGCACAAACGTGAATCCCATATAAAAACCGTTGGTCCTGGTTTATGTGGCATTTGGTGAAAAGTTTTCATTTTCATTACTAGCTCCTTGGTAAGACTCAGGTGAAAAATCACGATTTGGGCTGTCACTCAGGTGAACACTATGCATGGATATTATTACTGTTTGTCAATCAGGTGGTTGCTGCCTGGTGTTCAGAACATTTGTTACCACATCCGTTCAGCCCTGGTACTTTTTGTACCACTGACACATAGTTTCAGCACACTCTGTGTCCTAGATAACCTGATAGACATTACAAATAAGGGGATGGCCATTTCATTGACATCTGTAGGTAGTGTGCTGCTTATGAGACTTTTTAGTGACACTGAAAAAGGAAAAATAGTTGCTTTCAACCCGACTGCCAATGTCGTGTTTTAAGTTTTGTTTTATTTCAGTTAAGTATCTTCACATAAACTTCATAAATTACCTAAAATTAGAATGAATAAAGTTGCCTATATTAGAAATCTTTTAAAAGTTTGAAAATAATCAGTCTTGATAAATTACATTGGGTTACTACAGTTTCTACATAGGCTGCAAAGTGATTCTGTCATCCCATTCTTAAGTTTTACAGTTTTTTTTGTTTTTTTTCAATGAGATATCTGACGAGGAGTGGAGTGACCAAAGATTTATGTGGCTTAAGCTGACTGAGAGCTG